GGAAGTTGGGTACTTCCCCTGGAAGTGGGCGAAGGACTAGAGGACTCAAGTACTACATGTCTCTTCTGTCAGGAACCCAAGTTCGAAAATGAATTATTAGTTAGGAGGAACAAAGTCCTTATGGTTCAAGTTAATGGTCATGAAACAATGTTTTTGTCCCTTCCTCAGTAGCAAGTTGAAGGGCACACCATTGATAACTAAATGAAGACAAAAATGTCTTTTGTGGACCTTTAATCTCACCTCAGTTGTCTTTATTGCATTTGACTTCTGGGACTCAAGTCATGAATCACTTTCTCCAAAAGGTTAAATAAGGAGAGAGATATTAATAATAGCTTTAAATTTATAATGAGAACTATGGTATGTCATCAGGTACACACTGAAGATGAACTATAACAAACTCACACATCTGTGTATGGACTTAGTAGCTCAGATCCTAACTTTAGTTGTCACTTTTGCTATCAGTAGCCTTAAAATGTGCTCTTTGTCCAGTTCTCCAGGCAGCCCCTGCGTCATTAAGAATGGTCATAAAGTGCATAATTCATTTTTTGGTAATTGTGTTGAGTACAGAGCACTAGTTGTCACACTGAATTTTATTCTTCTTAATGAACTAAAATGATCCTTTAAAATATATATGGTTCTCTACCCACCTACTGCCAAGTTTTGATGAATGTAAACAATGTGTTGTCATAACAAAATATATATGTGCTATTATATGTTACATGTAGCATTGGCCTGAGTAGCCTTGCAGCCCAATGGAGAACAAGGGCCATATTCCAATGTATACAAGGTATCTCCAGGCACTTGAGACTTTTGTATTGTGAGAACGCATGCGGAGCAGTAATCATACTACTCAAATGCAGTCACTTCTCCATGCGTAGTAACTATGCATGCTTTTTCATTGTAAACCACTGTGATAATTTAGTAGAGATTGTACTGTAATTATTGCTGGCTTGTTGGTGTGCAGCCAAAAATTCTTTGTTTATAATATACAGTAATTTCAAAGAGGGACACCACCACAGATGCAGTGGATAGAATTTAGGATAAGGAGTAAAAAAGGACACATTTACAAGAAAATTTCTAAGAAATTTGCAAATGTGTTACATGGCTGTGCTACCCATGATATTTGTGGATATTAGCATGTGCGATCATTCTTCCTAGATTTGAATTTGCTCTTTAAATATGAGCTAAAATTCATAAAGCTGTTTGCTAATGGTAATGAAAAAAAAAGGATTCCTTTGTGTCATCAGTGGCTACTGAGCCTAATAGCATTTTATTCTGGGAAAGACTGGAGTGATATACATGAGTCAGAAGCTCACCCTGCCATCTGATGCATATTTTCAGTGTTGACACATCTTAAGTTTGGGAGTTTGGAATCAACCTAGTGGAGGGAGAACAGGACTGGGACACCTTGCAGGCTTTCCTAGAAGATCAATATGAATACAAGGTGCCCCAATGGCATCAAAACTCTTAAGAAGGCTCTATAATTGGTGAAGCTTTGGAGCCATTGTGGTTTGGAGGAAAGAGAATAAGCTTCAGAACTGTATAAGATGGACTGAAATCCTAACTCTGCTGCTTATTTCCTGTGAAAAAACTGAACTAAGAGGATAACAACTTCCCTGAACATCATGTCCTCATTGGTAAAATAAAGCTAATTGTAACTACCCAGTAAGGATTTCACACAACGTGTGTCAAGCCATTCTGTTACATAACAGATCCTGGATGCAGCGAATGTTTTGTGCATCAGTGAGTGAAAGAGAACTGAAACCCTGTTAAGAATGAGAATCATCCCTCTGGGGGAATACAAAGTAGACCTTTGAACTTGACTCTAGCAATTTAATCTTGCCATGAGTGGAGACGGCAGAGCTTCAATTCTGAGGTCAGACTGCTTGGGTTTGAATTCTGCCGCCTTTTACCAGGTGTGTATCTTTGGACACACTGCTTGACATCTTAATGTCAATTTCCTCATCTTTAAATGGGTGTACGAATAGTGTCTACTCTGTGGGATTTTTGATGGACATCAGATTGGGTAACAAATGTAATACACAAAGCACTCAATTAGTCAGACATACATGCTTCTTCACAGTAAAGCTAGAGAGGAAGATTCCGTGCCACTTGGCAGCCAGAGAACATGGCCTGGGACAGTATTAGAATGCCTAACTTGAAAATTTTTTTGGAGTTATACTTCAGTACATTATACAGATGCCTTTTATGAGCTCCAGTTTACTGATTTTATAGTTATATTGTCCATTTTTTTTAAAATTTATATTAGTGAAGGAATTTATACAAATTAAAGATCTGAAACAAGTGTAAGTTGATTTTATGGAGAATCATTCTCTTTTCTTTGTCATATGCATAGAAGGGTAGAAAAACGAATTGCTGGGGTGATCACATGTTTAAAATAGGCTCCACTGTGACTCACTTAGCACCCCACACAAAGTAAAATGTCACCGGAAAGGAGTAACCAGCCAACCCAATGTAAAACGGGCCTTCAATCTCATGGTCTGTTTTATTTAAATTGTGGTCATACTAACAGGGATAAAACTTGGAAAAGGGAAGCTAAATTCAAAATACAAAAAGAAAACTATCTGACAATTTGTAGAATATAGAAATCACTAATAGAATGGGTCCAGACAGTGGCATTTTTCATTTTTCACTTTTAAGCAATGTCAGGTGCTAGTAGAAGCTAAAATGGGTGACCCTTAGGGAAAGGAAAACCTACCCTGCCTTGAATGTCTTTAAAACCTATAATAATAATAATATAGTGATGAAGGCATCCCGAGCTGTCAGGCAGCATCCCCGAGATGTCAGGCAGCTCTGGGTGCTGCTGGCTCGCACCCCGGTGCCCAGCGCCCTCTCCTCTGAACACGGCAGTGTCTTGTCTTTGTACTTAGGCAGGGATGTCACCTGGATGTTCAGAAATCTTTTAAAAGCAACACAGACTTTCCTTGCATCTTGACAAATCATTGTCTGCCAATAATGAAGAAAAAGTAAACCTGGTTCTGTGATCATTGCAAATACAAGGAAATAAACACTTTGGAGGGTTTTTTGTTATTAAAAAATGGTTATGTATTTTGAGATCCTTTAATTGAAAAGTGATCAGATCACCTTTCCTTATTCCCCTTGTATAAATCATGCCGCTTTTCAAAAGCATTGACCAAGTGGAGTCTCTGACTCGTTTGATATTTAAGGACAGAATGTAGGATTTTTATATGACTTCCTTTCTTTTGGGATTTTTTAAAAAGACACATTCAGATTATTTTTATTTTTGTATGCTCTTACTGCTGTTGCTTAAAATTTTGTTACCCATTTTAACATGCTTTAATATATCCTGACAATAATAACAATGCTTTACTTTCACTTGGTGCTTTCATACATTTCCCCATCTCAGGCTTGAAGCAGCCATGAGATGTTAGCAAAGCAGATTCTCATTATTATTTACATATGAGGACACAGGTTTGGGATAGTTTATTACTCTCCATTCAGCCAGCAGATCCAGTCCTTCAGTCAACATCTACTCACTCAAAATGAGTGGCACTTCCACTTCTACCATATTGTATTTCAGAGAGGAACCTCGACTTTGTGTAATTTAGCATCCAGAGTGAGGGTGGTAGTGACTCTGCTGGGCTGGACATTGGTCCCAACAGCCTGTCGGAGGTCCTTGTTACATTTGGGTTTTGTGTGCTCATGGGAACTCAGGGAAACTGGAGGACCTGAGGAGGGGCAGGAAACGAGAATGGGGAGCTGGGAACAGAAATAACCAAAGGAATCAGGATTTTCAAGTCTGGAGAAAGGAGGGTATGGAGGAGACATAGCTGACATCTCACATGTTTAGGGACTACCTGGTGGAAGATGGAAGTAGATTTGTTCTTTTTTAAGCAGCAGAAGTAGGGTCACTGGATAGAAATTACAAAGAAGTGGGTGTTTTATTTCAGCAGTAACACGGTTTTATGATAAACCTAAGGGCTCGGAGAATTTCCTGGCTAGCTGAAAACGGGGTTTTGTGGGCTTTTCCAACCCAGTTTTACAAAGTTGTATCTATAACAATTCCTGTTTCACAAATCACAGGGTCCTGAAAATTCTGTTCACTGGATGGGGAAAGCATATAAGTTAAAACAAATAAACAAAACTTTTGTTAAGATAAGTATTGAAGCTGACTGGTGAGCGCAGTGGTGTGTGCACAAGCATTTTAACTATTTCAGAATGAAGTAGCCCTGCTTTTTGCTGTTTTCATCTGGCTTGTTATTTATACTACTCATTAGTCCAGGTCTATCTAGAACATGTATAAAATTAAAAGAAATTCAATTTAGCTAGTTTCAGTATCTTTAATATCAAAGGGGAAGGCATCAAAAAAAGAGATTGGCTAAAATGAGTTTATATTATGAGCAGCTTTACTAAGGGAAACACCAAACCAAGACCCAAAGCCACTGTCCCAGGTCTGGCTGAGTCTCTCTGCTTCATGATCTGTGCCGTAGGTTTTTATTTTCCCCTGATGTGGAAGTGATGTTCTAGGAATTTTCTTTCCAACTTTTAAATTTTACGATTTTAATTCTCTCAATTTTATGACTCTAATTCTCCACATTTGCATAGGAAACTGAGAATGGTCTCAATTATAACAAAAACAACTCAGTCATTAATCTTTAAAATACTTATTCATTTACTCAAAAACATTCATTAAATGAAATGCTATTTTAGAAATCGAAAACTTACTTCAATATATGTGATTTTAAGAAAGGAAGGCAGCAAATCAGTATCTTTCATACTTGAGGGTGAGGAATTCCATTTGTAGAGTTTTGAAGCAAACATAATAGAGTTCCTCTATAAAACTCTTGCTTAGATTTGAAACAGTAACATTTTAAACCATGCTCCTAATCATAATGGCCTGCAAGAAAACTTATTATAATACATTTTTCAGTCCCAGCATTATTAAAGGGTTCAGCCTCTGATTCCAAGCAGAAAGTCTTTCCTCGATGAATAATCTCATCTTTTTCTTCTTCCAACAGATTCCAGAAGGGCGACTACCACATTGACGTGTGCATCAATGACTACCTGGATGTTTTCTGCCCTCACTATGAGGACTCTGTCCCAGAAGATAAGACTGAACGTTATGTCCTCTACATGGTGAACTTTGATGGCTACAGTGCCTGCGACCATACTTCCAAAGGATTCAAGAGATGGGAATGTAACCGGCCTCACTCTCCAAATGGACCACTGAAGTTCTCTGAAAAATTCCAGCTCTTCACACCCTTCTCTCTAGGATTTGAATTCAGGCCAGGCCGGGAATATTTCTACATCTGTGAGTACATAGTGATTTATTGTGTTGCAGGGCAGCTGCAAGAGCCCAGAGTGATGTTTTTATCTGTGTTTCAGAGCATTGTAGAGAGCTGGACTCTGCATTACAGACGTCCCCTTGTGAATATATACATCATGGTCCCTAGATACATTACCTGGGAATTGAGAGCACAAATTAGATTAAAGACACAGCATCTCTTCCCCTATGAAATTGCACGTCAGCCTGTTCAGTGAACCACTGCTGACTTGTATTTCTTTTCAATGTAAATTGCAAGGGCTTCTCCAAAGCTGGGAAAAGAAAAAGAGATTCCTGAAAAAAAAATTAAAGGAAATAATTAAATTCACATCACTTGGAATCATTGGATTTGTTATTCAGGTGTCAGCAATATCCTTTCAATCACCCACATTTTTGGTGGGGAAAGCCAAATCTCCTGCAAATGTCAGCATGCTGACGATAAATACTCTCTTTGCACCAAGGAGAAAAACAATTATTAAGAGCAGCTGTGTCTTTAAACAGGAAAGAGCGTGAAGAAGTATCTAGAATGGGCTCCAAGGGAACTGGTGTACATGAGTTTTCCACCTGTGCCCATTAAGTGCGTCTGTCCTGAAGGAGCTCTAACCCTTTTTCAGCTGTCCTCTGTTTCAAGCACCTTGCTGTGGCCCTTATGTACACATCATTTCTTCAGGCATCATGCTGGTCGCATACTCTAGGTAAATGCCTCTCAAACTTGTGTGTACGTCACCTAGGCAGCTTGTTATGATGCAGATCTGACTCGGGGATCTGTGGTGGGGCCCAAGATGCTGCAGTCACGGAGCCCCCAGGTGCTGCTGGTCTGGGGCCCACACCACACGTGAGCAGGGTGCCAAGTCATGCTTGTCAGGGCAGCTTGCTGTGTGTCTGGATTCTCTTCTAGCCAGTATCAAATATTGAAACTATCTGGCCTTTCCCAAGTGTTTTCACTGTCAGCTGGAGAAGTTAAACATTTATTTGTTCAAAAGTACATTTATTGAACTACTCATCATGGCTCAGAACTGTTGGGAGATCAGAATGGAAGGATGCTCCCTGTCTTCGAGGAGTGACTGTGTAGTGGGGAGCAGATGTTAAACAGGCAACCAACGTGTAAATACACCACTGCTGAGTGAAGATAAGTAAATGCAGGGTACACAGGGGAGGTGGATTTCACCCGCTCGGAAGGCTCCAGAGGCGCAGCTGCACACCGAGCAGAGAGACCCAGGCAGTTGCACCCAGGGCACTTAGCGCCGACCTCTCAGCCTCACTTGCTGGACAAACGAGATCCCCAGTCCTGTGTGTCTGACCCACCTCATCAGTCTGAGTGTCCCCACCCACTCCTAACCACATGTTTTAAGTGTGCAAGGATTTCTAGCTCCTCCTCTTCTTCAGGAAACAGACTTTTATAATAAGCCAGATTTCACCATCACAAGGGCACTCTCACTTATATTGGAATTGAATTTTAAAAGGAAATTGAACAGTACTGGTTTTATTATTTCAGTACATATTTTAGTCGTTAGTCATGAGCAAACATGTAAGAGTCTTGATACTATCTCAATTCAATCCATAAAATAAGAAAAGGAATATTGAGTCCCACGGATGGAAGAAACACTGGCACACAGTGAAGTCACACGTTTTTAGGCAGTGGACTCTGCCTTTTGCTCATTTTTTACTTTGTGAAAGAATATCATTCCACAAATGAGAAAAAAGAAAGAGGAAGACTTCAGTTGTATGACAGCAACTCATTAATTGCCTAACTCTAAAATATCTTACTGATGCAAGAGGAAATTACTGCCAGTTTCAAAATTTTCATACTGGTTCCTCAGATTTAAAAAAAGCAGCAACAGAAGCAAAAAGCAAAAATGAATAGAGAGTTCTAAGATGGAAAACATCCTCAATAGCTAACTAGTTGATTGCAGGACCATTGGAAATTATAGAATCCATTGAGGTTCATAAGCAAGATGTTATTATTCAAATACACCCGTAGTGCTTATGACTGGCTTTTCCTCATTTGTGGTTAAATTCAATATTTCACTAAAAATCATTATGTGTCTTCTATAACATTCATTTAACAGAGTCATTTAACTGTCAAGGGCTCCTGACAAAGTAATTGTTCCAAAATGCTTCAAAATATCAAGAGCTTTTTGCTGTTCAGCTGAGTTAAACCTGAATTACTTTTTTTAATGAAAGGCAAAATAGCACAAAATTAGCAAAGAGGTATTCATTTACGAGAAGCTGGCCTGGTAGTCGCTTCAATTGAATTTTCAACCATGTTTTAGAACCACAAGAGCATCCTTCCCTGTCTTTTAACAGTGAGTTTCTTCTCTTTGTTGTACTGCTGAGAGCAGGAGTGGCGGAGCTAACGTGGCTGCCTTACAGACGTTTAATGTACTGTGGTCATAATTAAACAAAAGGATACTTAGGGGAGGATGAACCCTCAGTTGAATTTTCCTCTCTCCTAATATGCATGGAATGAACAAGATGATGGGCAAATGATTCTTCTCACACTTACTACAAGAAGCTCTACTGCTGATCTCAGGAACAAGCCTGACTACCCAGGGGTCAATTTTATAAACTGGTCTGACTAGGCCAGGGGTATATTTCAGCTTGTCAAGGCCTTAAAATCTCTCTTCCAAATTTTCCAAGATTAAAAAAAGAAAGCTACGGCCTTTTGGCAGTCCTTTTTCAGAGCGCCATTGCTGGGTGAAGTATATGGTGGCTCTAGAGAACCAGCTTTCACATGCCAACTTGGGCTTGGGGGAAAGGCAGAGGGGTATTTCCTAACAGGACACCCACCTCATCACTTAGGCTCAGAGAGGACACAAATCAGGGTGTTCAACCAAGTTCTGCTTAATCCTCAATGTGATTTATTTCCTTGTTAATTTCTTCAAGTTATACAAAATTAAGAAAATACAGTAGTTAGAAATATTTTGCAAAGTTCCCTGTTTACTTTAAAAATTAAATACCCTTCCCTGTTCTAGATTCTTTATTTGTCCTGAGAACGACTCTATGCTGTTCCCCATTGCTTATGAATGGGCAGCACATTAGGTTGCTGTAATTGCTGATTGTTGCTGAGGCAGACCGAGTCCATTCTCAGATCTGACCAATACTTATTTCAATCTATAGGAGTCATTTTGGTAAGAGGTTGGCATCTTGAAGTCATTATAGAAAGCCAGTGGTATTTCTGTCAGTGATAGATTTGCAGAATTGCCCATCAATAGATTACAGAAACAGTCATTTATGTAGACTTCCTAAGGTAAAGAATTATCTCAGAAACTTCAAAAATACTTGTTTTAAAAATGATTCTCATAAATATTAGCCTAATGAGAACATATTTGAAAGAGGTTTTGCTGTTGTTAAATTAGAAGAGGCAAAGGGAAATGACATAAATAAGGGTACTTTAAGTTGTTTTTGTAAGGCAGTAGAAACACTCATTTTTGAATGTCCTCTTTTAAAATAAGGAACACTGAGTCCCGGGCTCGTCCCCTGATCTGACTAGCTACGGGATCTTGGGTGAACATGTGAGCCCTTTGGATTTCTGTTCCACATCTGTTGCAATAGATTATTTCAGACATCTTGCAGTTTTAATATCCTAATCTCACTATATTTTATCCAAGGGTCTGCACCCTAGGTAGGAGAACATCTGTCACATGGCCACACCCAGTGCCTTATTTAGTAGGTGTTCAATAAATGCCAGTTAAAGGGACGTCCTTAGGGGAAATGCAGAGGGGATTTACCTGAACGGGTCCGTCTGTGGCCTAGAATCACGCTCCCGTCTGTCTGCCCCACTCTCCTCACTGCTCTGTCGAAGCCCTGCAGTGGCTTCCTTGCCTCGCCAGGACAGAGCCGCAGGGTCTCTAACTTGGCCAGCAAGGTCCTCGGAGGCAGGTACTCTTCTCTTCCCCACCCTTGGCCTCCTGCATTTCTCTTCCCACCATATCCTGCCTTACTATCTCTACTCTGGCCACCCAGCCTCCTTCCTGCTCCTCATACCTGTCCACCCCCTGTCACTGCCTGGGTGTTTGTCTTCTCTCTGCCTGGAGTCTTCTTGCCCCAGGCATCCACGTCCCTTCTCTCACTCTCTAAAGGTCTGTGTTAAAAAATGTCTTCATCAGAGGCTGTTCTGACCTCCCTAAACAAAGACAATTCTCTATCATCCTCTGTACTCTTACCCTGCTTTCTGTTTCTGCTCTGTGCCCTGCATTATATTGTTTGGCAGACAGTAGGTGTTCAATAAATGGCACTAGTGTTCACATAGCAGTTCACTGTTCCAGACACTGTTCTAAACACCCTACAATTCTCAAAACAGCACTATTTTAGAGATGAGGAAACTAAGCACAAAACGTTAGGTAAATTTAAAAAGGTTCACACAGAAAAGAAATGACAGATCTGAGAGGAAATTAAACAAATTAAGCAACTAAAAGGAGGGAGATAAAATCCTAGGCCTCAGGTGCAAAAAGGAAAAACATACTTTATTTTGTATTAAAAAAAAAGATTAGGAACAATTAGCACTGCTGTTTAGAGGATATTACTTTATAAACTCTGCTGAAAACCCCAAATCAGATAGTAGAAAGATACTTTTGAACACATTTATGTATTTTTAGCTCTTTGCCAAACAATACTTTTCCATTTCCAAAAGATGTTTCAACTGTGTCTTCCCAGAGAGTTGACCCTTTTAATACTTCAAAATGTCAGGAAAGTTGAATTTTCAAAGAAATTCTTCTTGAAGCCTCTGAATATTCAGGATCCACACTGAATCATGATTGAACATTTGATTGTGAAATGAGTGTTAATGAGAGACCTACAGTAATGAAGACAAAAGTCATTTTCTAAAAATGATTTAAAAAGCAGAGAATTCTTCTAGCATTTGCCACATGTAAGGTGTAGCTGATTTTCTTGAATGTCCTCTTTTATAGAGTTTATAGTCACAGCACCCAGGGGAAAACAGGAGTTTCTGGGACATTGTCCTGGAGCACACCCTTCCTATGTTTATT